TTTTTGGTACCAGGGATCGAACTCGGGTCCTTGTGCTTGCGCAGCAGGCGGCGAAACCACTGAGCTAAATCCCCGGCCTTATAAACATTTCTTTAGCATGTATCTAGAACTGCTCTAAGAACTTTTAAGATATGTGGAAAAAGCAAGATACAGATATACATAGAGTGCTGCTGTATATATACGTGTATGTGTACATTTTCTTAGAAAAAATGCTTTTTTTTGGTACCAGGGACCAAACTCAGGACCTTGGGCTTTCGAGGCAGGCACAGTGCCACTGAGCTAAATCCCCAGCCCAGAAAAAAGACTTCTTGCTGGACGTAATGGTGTACACCTGTAATTCCAGCACTCAGGAAGCTGAAGTAGGATTGCTGGGAGTTCAGGGCCAGCCTGGGCTACATAGTGAGTTCAAGGCCATACTGAACTATGTGAGACCCTGTCTCAAAAAAGCCAAAATATGAGGGCCGGGGATTTAGCTCAGTGGTTTGGCTGCCTGCTGTGCAAGTGCAAGGACCCGAGTTCTATCCCTGGTACCAAAAAAAAAAAAAGCCAAAATATGAAAAAAAGGGAAAAAACCACTTCTACATTGACATGTGTTAATATTGGGAAAAATATTGCTTAACATTTACATTTAGCCCCTATAATTTTTCATATTGTGTGAAAACTAGGAAAGAAAAAGGAATTCTTCCCTAAGTATGACAAAATTGAAGATTTAGTTTTTGTTTTTGTGGTACTGGGGATGGAACCAAGGGCCTTTGCATTAAGTTATATCCCCAGTCCATTTTTATTTTGAGATAGGGTCTCAGTAAATTGCCCAGGCTGGCCTCTAACTAGAAATCCTCCTGTCTCAGCCTCTCAGTGCTGGGATTACAGGCATGTGCCCCTGCACCCCAAGGAAGGTTGTTTTTAATATTGGTCACTAAGTATGTTTTCCTAGAGCTTTTATTGATGTTATACACGTGCATTCTCACATCCTTATATCTGGGCCACTGAGCCAATCTTAGTCCAGAGAATCAAAGAACAAGTAATAAAAATCTGTACTTAAGTCTTGTGAGGTCAGTATCTGAATTCAGGTCAATAACTACTATGCTAAACCAGAGCATGTGGGATTAGTAGAGAAAGCTATTAATTTGAGACAAAAATCAGGGTTTTTTCTTCATTATTCAAATGAATTCATGTTGAACAAGTTCTTTACACAATGTTGTGTGATTAGCAGTGTATGAATAAAGTGCTTTAAGGTGACTCCAATGATGTTTCCAGATATCTTTAAATAATATTTATTAATAATATAAAGAGTCAGACATGGTGGCACACACCTGTAATCCCAGCACTTGGAAGGCTGAGGCAGGAGAATCGCCATGAGTTTGAGGCCAGCCTAGACTACATAGTGAGTTCAAGACCAGCCTAAACTATACAGCAAGACCCTGTCTCAAAACAAAACAAAACAAAAAACCCCAATAAATGCTCTCCACTTTTTTGCCCAGTGCTAATGATCAGACCCAGGGTCCTTGCACATGCTAGGCAAGTCCTCTACCACTGAGCCACACCCCCAGCCCTTAACACTAAGTTGTTTTTTCTATCTTTCTTTTTTATCTTTTTCTTTCTTTTCTTTTCTCACTGTGTAGTCTAGGCTGTCCTCCCAACTCCAGAGTTTCTTTTCTCAACCTCTCCCAAGTAATGGGATTACAGGCATGTACCACCACACCTGGGTAACACTTAATTCTTGAGTGTCACGTCTTTGTACAGTATATAAATGGAATCATTCTATTATAGTGGAAAACCATAAATTAGAAGGCAAGGCATACCCTGGAAGAGTAAAATATGGAGATAAAAAAGTGTTAGAAATTTATTAGTAAATTTTTACCCTTTAAAAATGTGCACTATGATTTATGCCATTTATTACACTTAACCTGCTCATTTTACTCTCTTTTTCTTTTTCTCCAGTAATGTGTGTAGCTGGTATTGGACTTGTTGTATTATTCTTCAGTTGGATGCTCTCTATTTTCAGATCTAAATATCATGGATATCCATACAGGTATGATTCTTGCTTAGTTTCTGTAGTGATGACCTCTACTTACAATGATCACAGTTAATGTGGCTTTATGTTTTTTTCTTTCGCTTTGCTTTTAAACTATTCTGATTTCTAAAGCAAAGAAAGAAGGTTTAATTTAGATATATGTAAAATTAATGTAAATATGATATAATGGACAATATTAGTGTGTATGATTACCCAAACACCTTTTAGGGTTATTCTGATATCACCTAATTAAACCTGGAAATCTATAATAACACATAATGATTAGAGAATTTTATATCATATACATTTATCCTCACATTTCTTTCAAGGCATAGTATACACCCTCTTGAGGAACAAATGATTTTTTAATGTTTTTAAAATTTACTTCCTTTCAAGGCTGATTTAGATGGCATAAAAGAACATTTGATTAGAAGCCAGTTTGTAGAAGGTTTAAGAATTTAGCAAGAGGCTGAGGCAAGAGGAGTAAGTGTTCCAGGTCAGCATGGAATATATAAGGAGAATTTATCTTTTTTTTTTTTTTGGTACTGGGGATCAAACTCGGGTCCTTGTGCTTGCAAGGCAGGCGGTGGAACCACTGAGCTAAATCCCCGGCCCAAGGAGAATTTATGTTTAAAAAAATAAACAAATAATCCAAAGTACAAATAAAGACCAAAATAAAAGATTGTAAAAGGAAACAGGGAGATAGATCTTTTAGAAAGGGGAAGGGGACCAAGGGACTGAAGATAGGGAGAGGGGGGAGGGAAAGGGGACATAAAAAGATTTAACATACATCATATACATTACCAGCTACCCACAATGAACATAATTTTTAAATGTCACAGACACCAGGCATGGTGGCGCACACCTGTAATCCCAGCACTCAGGAGGCTGAGGCAGGAGGATCGCCATGAGTTTGAGGCCAGCCTGGGCTATATAGTGAGTTCAAAGCCAGCCTGAACTACACAGCCAGAACCTATCTCAAAGGAAAAATATGTCACAGACATGAACTAAAATGATGATGATGATGAAAATGGGGAAATGAGATCTAGAGACAGAGGGAGGGAGGTGAGTGGAGAGGGGAAAGGGAATAAAAAGAATAAAGATGGGGCCGGGAATTTAGCTCAGTGGTTCCGCTGCCTGCCTCGCAAGCGCAAGGTCCAGAGTTTCATCCCCAGTACCAAAAAAAAAAAAAAAAAAAAAAGAATAAAGATGTAAAGTATATGTACCCACTCCCTAATATGAATGTAAACATTATGTACTCCAAACATGCACTAATAAAGATTAAAAACAAGGAGGGGAACAGGGGAACATAAAAATAAGATGTGTACATGTACTAACTCCACATGATGAATATAATAATTATGTACTATAAATATGTACTAATAAAAATTAAAAACAATCTATATTCTCAAGAAAATAAAACAAGCCAGGCATGGTGACACAGGCCTGTAATTTCAGCACTCAGGAGGCTGAGGCAGGAGGATTGCCGTGAGTTTGAGGCTAGCCAGGGTTATGTAGTGGGTTCAAGACCAGCCTGGACTACAAAGCGAGACCCTGTCTCAAAACAACAACAAAAACAAAAAAAGAATGTTTAAGGTCTGCTGAAGCCAGGTGCCTTGGTGTGTGCCTGTAGACCCAGCTACTAGGGAGGCTGAGGCACCACCGTGCCTGGCTTTGAACTTAATTTTAAAACAGAAACCTCCTAGAACCCTGATTCTTGATTTGTAATCTTCTAAATTTATATTTTTATGTTGGGTGTTGTGGCACACACCTTTAATCCCAGTACTTTGAGGGGCTAAGGCAGGCAGATTTAAAAAGACACAAACCAGGTATGGTGGCACATGCCTGTAGTCCAAGCACTTTGAAGGGTGAAGCAGGAGGACTGCCACAAATTCAAGGCCAGTCTCGTTTATTGAGTTCAAGGTCAGCCTGACCTGCATAGCAAGAACCTGTTAAAAAAGAAAGGAAGGAAGGAAAGACTGACTGACTGAGGATGTAGCTCAGTTCAAAGGCCCTAGGTTCAATATAATCTGTAGAGCTAGGTATAGTGGTACAGAACTGTAATCCCGGCACTCAGGAGGCTGAGGGAGGAGAATAACCGTGAGATCAAGGCCAGCCTGAACATAGCAAGACCCTGTCTCTAAATATATATATATATGTATGCGTGTATGTGTATGTTTATGTAGTACCACAATATTTAATTAATTTATGCTTTTATTTTGTATACATGTGTTTTTAAATGATTTGACCTCTGTAAAATACTGATTGGGATGTAAGAATAATTTTGCTGTAACTTCTAACAGAATTAATAATTATTTGATTGCCAGGGTTGATTCAGTTATTAATTAGTGTTTCTGTCCAGGAGATGTTTTAACTTGAGGTTATGTCTGTTCTTTTGTTGTAAGACTACCTGGTCGCTTGATGTTTCTCATTTTATTGTTGATATTCAGATTATCATACATGTGCCAAAATGCTGTTAAAATCACCATATTACATATTTGTTAGAAGACTTTTCTTTCAGAGACTAATAGATTGGTATATATTTTTGTTTCAGCTTTCTGATGAGTTAAAAAGAATTCCAGAGATTTGTAGACACTGTGGTAATGGAAACTGAAAAGCAAGAAATATGTGTGTATTTGAAAAGAAGAATGCAACTTGTGTATTTTGTATTGCCTCTTTTTTCAAGTGATTTAAATAGTTAATCATTTAACCAAAGAAGATGTGTAGTGCCTTAACAAGCAATTTCTTGTCAAAATCATGAAGTATTTAAAAATTACTCTCCTCTTAAACTTCCCTTCCCAGTGAATTTTATGGAACATTTAATTTTGTAGAATTAAGTACATTATAAAAAGTTTAAAACTACTACTTCATTTTAATTAGAATAAAGCTCACTACTGTTTTACTTAACATTTTGATTATCTGATTTTATATTATTTTCCAAAGTGGAGAATGAAAGTTCTGATGAAGTATTCCCACATATCAGTGCTACAGATAACTGCATCAGGAATTCATTCTTAGCTTTTTCATGTTTGCACGGATGTGTATATTTTATACATTTTTCCTTTGGGACTGAGAAATATGTGCTTTATGGTCTTCTGAAACTGGAACATTATTCTTCAGAGTACAGATCTAGCCTTTAGAAAGATTAGTCAATTTTATTCCTGCATTTTTTCTACTGAAATACAGTGCTATTTATGCTTCTTGATAGCTGCAAATATTAAAAATATCTCTATAGGATTATGATTTCTGCATGTCTGCACTGTTCACTACCTTGTATTTGGAAAGACTTCAGATTCATCCTATACCCTTAATTTTCTTTTATTTAAAGTGACATATCTCTAATAATAATATACCTTAATGCTAAAAGTCAGTGTAAACTGGGTGTAGTGGCACACACCTGTAATCCCAACACTTGGGAGGCTGAGGCAGGAAGATCATTGTGAGGTCAAGGCCAGCCTGAATTACATAGCAAGATCTTGTCTCAAATTGCTGTGAGTTTGAGGCCAGCCTGGGCTGCATAGTGAGTTGAAGGCCAGCACCCTGTCTCAAAATAAAAAACAAACAAAAAAAAACATTGTAACTTATGGTCTACAATATTTCTAGAATTTGGAGATTATCATTTATTTCATTTTTACTTAACAGAAAAATAGGCTCAGTTGTGTTTAGGAAAAGAATTTCCTTGGAATGGGAAAACGATCATGAGATATTGAGTTGTTACCTGTGTATAGAAATTGAATGTTTCTTGAAACGTGTTCTATTTTTGCTATGACTTTAGCCTTTTTTCTCTCCTGTTAAGTAGAGAAAGCCAGCACAGTGGCATGCACCTGTCCCAGATATTTAGTGGTCTGAGGCAGGAAGATGTTTGGGGAGGGGTTGTTTGTTTTTGGTTTGCTTTAGTTTCTTGAGACAGAATCTTGCTATATAGTCCAAGCTGGCCTCAAACTCAAACTCTCCATCCTTCTGTCTCACCCTCCTAAGTGTCAGATTATAGTCAGGGTCCATCATACCCAGCAGAGGATCATTTGGGGTCAGTCTGGGCAAGATAGTGAGACCCCCAATCTCAAAAATAAGTAGAGAAACAAAGTAAAACTTTGAACAGGTTTTGTTTGAATTTCATCTTTTTATTCTTTTTTTTTTTTTTTTTTGTGCCGGGGAT